GTTCTGCATGGAGCACTGGGTGTTATGCACAAACAATGAATCATGGAACACTACATCTAAAACTAATGATGTAATGTATGGGGATTAACATAACAATAAAAAAATTAAAAAAAAAAAGCCAATGGGAAATCCAGGTTTCTTGACTTGAAGCATTGGGCAAGATTACATAGACTGCCATAGACCTGTTTGGCTTCTGGTCTTTCCCTTGTTTCTCAGAGGCCTTTTTGAGTCACAGAACTTTTGCACGTGTGGTAAAATGCACATAGCGTAAAACTCACCATTGTAACCACGTGTAAGTGTACGTTTGCTGGCATTACGTATATTCACACTGTTTTGCAGCCGTCACCACCGTCCATCTCCAGAACTTTCTCATCTTGTAAAATACAAACTCCGTACCCATTAAACGTTAACTCCCCATTTCTCCCCACCCCCAGCCTGTTCTGCTTTCTCTCTGTGATGTTGCCTACTGTAGGTACCTCACATAAGTGGAATCATGCTGTTTTTTTCTTTTTCTGGCCACTTGTTTCCCTTAGCATAATGTCCTCAAGATTCTTTCATGGAGCACAAACACATCCTGGGCATCCATTCATCTGTGAATGGACACTTGGGGTGCTTCTACCTCTTGGATGTTGGTGAATCATGCTGCTTTGAACGTGGGTGCACAAATCTCTCTTCAAGACCCTGCTTTCAGTTCCTTTGGGTGTATACCCAAAAGTGGAATTGTGCATTATATAGTAATTCTGCTTTTAATTTTTTGAGGAACTACCATACTGTTCTTCTTAGTGGTGAAACCGTTTTACATTCCCACCCAACACTGCAGAGGGTGCCAGTTTCTCCACATACATCCTCACCATTTTCTGTTTTTTTGTGTTGGTTTTTTCTTTTTTTGGAGTAGCTATCCTAACAGGTGTGAGGTGGTGTCTCATGGTTTTGATTTGCATTTCCTTGATGATGAGTGATGTTGAGCATCTTTTCGTGTGCTTGTTGGCTACGTTAGAGCTCCATTCAGAAAACTTTCTCAAGGAGAAATCGCGCAGAAATCATTGTTTCTGCAGGTGTATTTTCCAGATCATGTGAGCCTGTAGTAGAAGTGGTCTTACTACCTCACTTGTCATTAAGTTCTTTTCTTTTTTTTTTTAAGTAGTCTCCACACTGAGCAGGGCTTGAACTCACAACCCTGAGATCAAGACCCGAGCTGAAATCAAGAGTCAGATGTTTAACCGACTGAGCCACCCAGGTGCTCCTGTTGTTAAGTTCTTTTTAATGTTGTCAGCCTCTCCTGGACCATGAGCCCACACGGGTCAGGAGGTTTAGTCTTGTATTGCCGTTACCTAATCGGTACCTGGCACATACTAAGCAATTACATATATTAATTGAATAAATACATACCGTTTTTATTCTTAAATTTTTTAGCACTAATTTTAGTGTCTGAATGTAAAACAAAGAACCCTAGTACCACAACTCTTTCCTTTTTTCTATGTATCCTAGTAGAGAACAAATCTCCAGTTTTCCAGTTTTCCAAGCCAAAAGACTCTTGTAGAATCTTTGTCACCTTAGTTGCAGTCACGGTTTGCTCAAAGAGATTTCTTTGGTGGTTTATTTTTCTGCAGCATTAGAGACACATGCTCAAAATTAGAGGACAATCCCCCTTTCCTCTTTGATTCCCTTCATTGCTGAAGAATTAAAGGGTGGTTCTTCCATTCTTTGGGTCTCAGTTTTCCTTTAGTAAATATTTTTGCTAATCATTTAAAAATTAGGGAAAGTAGGGTCTTGAGTTCAAGTCCCACTTAAAAACAATTAGGAGCACCTGGGTGGCTCA